TTTAGCGGGGTGCCAGGGGAGGGTGATAAGATGATCATGAGGTCAGGTCTTAACTTTCAAACCTTGACGCACTTACTTTTTATACTACAACTAGCTGTCGCGGCCAACGTTGTTTTGCCTTAAAATAAAAAAAAATTAGGGGTATACTAGCCCTAACATTTAGGGGGATGAAGAATAGATGTTGGCCGATTCTCATACCTACTCAATACGCTCACAAAATTTCATGAGAATCGGTCAAGCCGTTTTGGTGTAGTATGGGAACGAAAACTTTGACACGAGAATTTTATATATAGGATGGTGGTAAACAAGCATAGGGACCATTTGGTAAATGGTTACCATAGCCTACAGAGGCACCAAGGGTGATATCTATCTATCTATCTATCTATCTATATATTGTGCTCGCCCTTTTTAAGAGTCCACTACCTAAACCTATCAGGGACAAGAATTGAAGGATATTCTTAGGAGCGATGGTTTTTATCTCCTCAGGATAGAGTGTAAACTTTCCAAAGCAAATATTACGTTTATACATGAGTGGGCTACAACCACATAGGATGTGTAGTGGCGTTTCCTCTTCAGTTAGGCAAAATCTGCTGATGTTTGTTGGGCATTGGCCTAGGTTTGCTTTACATTTGTTCTTATCTTATCACTTCGACTGATTTAATCTTATTGTGTTTTTATATTTGAGCCTAAATAAATTAGTGCTGGTTGGTAGTTTGTATTCACACGTTTCGACTTGTAAAATGTGAACGTACAAGGATTGTTTAAAAGAGCAACACACAAGTTTCTTGCTTATTCTTCTTGTGATGAGACAGCTTTCCGAATAAGCGGTAGATTTAAAAAAAAATTTTTGACTATTCAAAAGTGCTTAAATTAAGTTTATTTGAACAAATAATTTTCTATTCTATTCTATTCTGTGTTTGTTCAATTTGCGACACTGCAAATTGAACAAACAACTGTGAGGGTCACGATACATATGTCATGTTTTTACTCAATAGCAATAGTCTAATAATATTGTCTATTGAGTATTGCTTAGTCCGATGCTATAGTCTCAAAAAAAAACCTCCAGAACTATAGCATAAGGTTAACGTTTTTAATCCATAAACTTCATTATTATCTGTGCGACATTCTAAATTCAGAGCGTCCATTCGAAACTAGTTTCGATCTAAACTTCTTTATGGAAAAACAACAACAGCGCGCTCTATGATACTGTTACAAAACTAGTTATATATATTGAGAAAATCTTGTAGATTGAATATTTAACTTCAAACTTTAGCTTAATAACAAGTGATACAGTAGTTTATCTATGCAGTAGTAGATATTAAACGATGTGTGCTTAAATTTTCACTACCAGTGTGCTTAATTACAATAAATTAGTTGCAGAGTCTGTCACTAGATGGCGTTAATTCGTTATTATTTATAACTGATGTTTTCCAAACCTAAGGAAGGACTTATGGAGCGTCTGAAGGCAAACCCGCCTGACGGATATGACTTTAGTCTGAGGGCACCGCTAGGGGTTCGAACCTCGGCTCAGGCCGTCGTAACATCGGTCCCTGTTTGAATTGGATGGGAGATCGATCAGGATAGAGTTATTCAAGAGGGAGTGTACATGTATTATATAATATATATATATATATACATATATATATATATAATACATGTACACCCGTGCGATGCCGGGGCGAGTAGCTAGTAAAATATATATTTAATTGTATATATGTTTTGTAAGAGTGTATTTATTGTAGTACCTACCTATTATTTTCTTCATTACAAATTACCTATTAATCATTAAAATAACATTATTGTGAATTATTTCGTAATAAGTACATAAATAAATAGCACAATACTATCTTTGTTCATAGACAATAACGGGCTATGGAGGACTAGTCGTATTTATTGTCTATTCCCACGGATCATAATGACATTTCCACAGAATACTTATAAAACTCAAATGGGGGAAACAATAAAGTTGGATTGTAATTTTTTGTATCTATTATAAAGATTTATGTTTTGTTTGGATAAACTAAAATAGTACATATAAATACAACTAATAGTTTATTCAAATAAACTCAATAAATAGTCATAATTTTTTTATACTCATTCACTCATTCGGAACACAGACTGATCACGCAGAGATACAAGAATAATGAGCAAGAAACTTGTGTGTTGCTCTTTTGAATAAATTTTACAAATTTTTAATAAATGTTACAATTAATAAAATTTTATTAATAAAATAACTGATTTAGAATAAACTATGTATATATACATATAATTTGTTTGTAATTTGTGTCTGTATTTATTATCTAATATCACAGATAACATAAAATTACATACTAATATTAACTCTAAAATAATGGTATATGGATTTTCATTTAATGTTAGACATAGACACCTATATAAATGCATTGTAAATAAACTGGATTTTAAAAAAAAAAAATTTAATTGAGTTTCTTGCCAGTTCTTCTCAATTGGATCTATATACCGAACTGGACGGTAGGGAAAAAAATTATAATGTAAAATTTGACGTTCATAAGCGGCTAAAATGTCCTACATGAATAAATGATTTTTGAATTTGAATTTGAATTTGAATTTGAATTTGAATTTGAATTTGAATTTGAATTTGAATTTATATGGGCAACATTTTAACAAATGTGCAAAAAAGCAAGAAACAAGTAATTATTATTATTATCATAATAATATAGCTCATATTATTCGTTTTTTTTATACTACGTAGGTAGCAAACAAGCACATGGGCCATCTGATGGTAAACGGTTACCGTAGCCTGAAACAACATTGGTGTCCCGATTCGCTTTCGATGGTTTTTGAATGATTCGAAGACAACACTTTATTAAAAAAATATATAGATTACCAATTGCATTTCTGCAGTACCGTACTGAGTGTGTAGTAATTTACAAATTTCATATTTATAAATATTCAGATTGAATTATTTATTTATCTATACTAATATTATAAAGCTAAAGAGTTTTTTGTTTGTTTGTTTGAACGCGTTAATCTCAGGAACTACTGGTTCGAATTGAAAAATTCGTTTTATGTTCAATAGTCCATTTATCGATAAAGGCTTTCAGCTATATAACATTACGATACGACCAATAGGAGCGGAGCTGCAATGAAAAATATTGCAAAAGGTGGGGAATTGAAATGCAAAAGTAGCGCGGATCAGCTATTAAAGGATAATCTGACAAGTACTTAATCGATTTAAAAAAATCTTTCACCTATAGAAAGATAATGTTAGTAATATGCTTTGTATAATATTTTAATTGCAAAAACCTTATGAGATCCCTACAATATTTGCAACCATACGAAACTGTATAGCGTGATTAGTAATTTATGAATTTCGTAATCTGATATAAGATATTCCATGGCAATTATATACAATAAATTACCTAATGCTATAATTAATTTAAATTTGAAATTACAAGGAGACAAGTAAATATTTATAACTAACTTAATTACACAACAAAGAACCTAAAATTAAAAACCTTAAAAAATATAATATAATAACTAAAAAAGCCAAAATATGTAAATACAGGGGTCTAGGCTCCGAATATGAATTTGTCCCATTCGGTGTCGAGACCCTTGGTCCGTGGGGTCCTAGCGCTATAAGACTTTTCAAAGAAATAACGAAAAGGTTAGTCGACATCACAGAAGACCGAAGAGCTGGCAGCTACCTCGGACAAAGAATTAGTCTAGCCATTCAAAGAGGGAACGCTGCCAGTATCTTCGGAACGTTGCCTAAAGGGACCCCTTTTAATAATATATTTTAGTCATCATATTATATATATTTTTTAAGCTTTTTAATTTTAGGTTCTTAGTTGTACAATTAGGTTATGTAAATACTAGTAATAAATACGATCAAAATAAGGAAATAAAGTTCATAACTAAAATATATTATTAAAAGGAGTCCTTTTAGGCAAAGTTCCGAAGATATACATAAAGATATATATAAAATACCTTATATTATAAAAATGAGAGTCGATATAATAAATTTATTATCCGGTTAAAACAAATGTTGACAAATAAATGCTATTACAAAATCGAAGAATACTTGCAAGATGTAGATGAGTAATATAAAACGTCCGCCTCTCTTCCACGTTGCAATGCCTAAAAGATGCATATTATGTATGTAAATTAATTAATTTACCATAATTGTGCAACGCAACGTAAATAAATAAATAAAAATATAACAAGTTTTAATTTGTAATTATTAGTATATAAATTAAATTAAATACTTAATGGATTTAATCAATTTTTTCATAAAATTATCGGCAAGTCTTTTATTTTCAAAATAATTAAGAAATCTCTACAATTGTATTCACCTGTAAATAGCCAGTATTATCGGCAAGAAATGTCTTTTATTTTAGAAGACATTAGAGGTCTCTACAATAATTGCAACTATGCGAATTTAGCGGATAAATTTCGATCTCTTATATGGGCAAATTGCTACTATTTAATTGTAGACATTACCTACATCAACCGCAAGGAAATTCAATTAGTTGCGGTATCAAAACACCTTACGAGTCCAACATTAATCTAAACCCGACCCAAAAAGCACACTACAAGTAATTAAACGTGACATTGAATACCACCGTGGGAATGCACACACAAACGAAACGCCCCAGCATAAATTAACTAACAATATTATAGAAACAATTGACCAATTAAATTTTTTAACAATTGCATTTAAGAAAATATATGACCTTAGACGGAGAATGTTGGCGGAGTTACTGAAACAAAAAAAAACTGTCCACATGCTCGCAGTTTTACAAAACGGCTCGGACAATTAAACAATTGGGATCTTACAGCATAGGTAAGTGCGACGAAAAAAGATTTTCCGTTTCAGATAATGAAATGACAACAATGGTGGCGTTTGCGCAAGGCATTCGCACGGCGAGGCTAGCGAGTGGGGCGATATTTTATATAGGGGAGCTCGGTGCGCGGGCGCAGCCGTAGCGCCGACATGCCGCTGCGGCTGACCTAGCGAGATGATCCGCCTCGTCATTCTCGTGTGCTTAACCACCGCGATCGCTTCCGAAATCGAAACAACCAAAGATGCTACCACTGAAATACCTGCAGTTAATACCACCAAAGAAATTTTGAAGGCGAGCGAAACAGGTGACCCGTCTAAAGTAGAAATTGTTAAACAGATACGCCGATTGAACGATGATGGCTCATACACTATTGGTTACGAAGCTGATGATGGAACTTTTAAGATCGAGAGCAGAGATGTTTTGGGTAACGTGAAAGGGACTTTCGGGTATATAGACCAGGATGGGGAAATCAAGCGTGTGACATATTCTTCATCAAGTGATAGTACCCCGATTCCGGTGACGACCAGCAGCACAACACCTAGTGTACCAACTATGATAGTAAGAATGAATAAAACTGTGTCATCAACCACTAGAAGACCATTGCCAACCGTCGTGTATCCAACTAGAGGTATATATACTACAAGGGGAACTGTCATTCAGCCAATACCTAGAAGACGACTAATAGCAAGTTCTACGAAAGCAGCAACAAATATTGAAACCACTACAGAAAAACAAAGACCAGAAGAAACTACAAGTAACATCCTAAATCTTTACAAACCAAAATTAGAGGATAGTGTTAAATCGCGAACTCAAATTTTAAAACCTATGCCAACTACTGTGAGTGATGATTTAATTAATAAACAGACAACTAAATTACCAACGACAGTGAAACCCGTGTACGAACATGTCAATGAAAAAGGATCTGAACATGACGGTAATAAAGCGAATACCATACGTCGAGAGTTAACTGGAACCAGTCCGAACCCTCGTATGATCAGTCTACAACAATCTGTTGGTGATGATTCCACTGATGTTTATGGAAGTCACTTGTCCCTCGGAACTGTACGTCCATTATTCACTACCACTACACCACGTCCAAGACTTGTGCCTATACATTCTCTAGTAGCTGCCAGACAAAAGATTCAGCAACAATATCAGGAAGCGCAAAGTCAGGACCAGGAGACAACCGTCGAAGCAAGTACAGGCCGTGTTTTTAACCAAGAGAACGTAGTGACTTCCAATCCAGTGCCAGTTATTCACATACCAACTGAAAGTGATGACGACAGATTGTATCATCAGCAGCCAATTTACAGGAGACCACAAGCAGCTGTTCATTTCCGTACACACGAGTACTTAAAAGACAATCCTGGAGCTGCTGTGCCTATTGGAAACCAGCGGCCCTTTCTCCACTATGAATATCCGAACAAAGTATTGGAGCCTCAGTATGTTAGAGAGACATCATCCCAGCCGGTAGCTAAAACGACTACTGAACCAGTAACTGCTCAACCGTACGAAGTAAGGCCAGTAACTAGAATTATTCCTATAGCTGTAGACGAGAGAGGTGTACCTATTCAGGGGTATCAAGCAAGGTTTGTGAACCCATACCATGTAGCACAACCTCAAACACAGATGGTACTTCAACCGCGCTACGAACCAGTGGACGAAATGAATTCCATATCAGCCCCAGTGAGTACAAGAGACTTGAAACGCTTGCTCCAGATTCTGATATTACGGCAGAATCGCTTGCAAGCTTTAATGGATCAGATCGTGTCGCCTGGTACAGGGTACCAGCCAGTACAGTTGTTCCGTCAGGAGCCGCAGTATTACAACAGGATTGATAACCGCCAGTACAGAAACGATGATCGCTACGATTACAGATTCGATCAGCAACAGTATAGGCAGCAGGAAGCTTATTCAAACCAAGTTACGAATTACGACAATTCACAATACGAGAGTCAGCGTTATGTTCCTCGGCGGAGGATATATAGACCTTATGATACAGTGAGCGCCGCAACGAACCATGTGGAAGAAACTCCAGAGTATCTACCACCGGATGTCCGAGAGACTTTACTGCTGAAAATGCTGATGTTGGCTATCAGTCCTGACTTCATGCCGACACCAGCTCCTCTTACCGAGCTGACTACAGCTGCACCCACGAGGAAGCAGGTCAGGAACGTCCAGATCCTCGGAGAGGATGGCTCGGGCGAGAAGGCGGCCATGCAGAGATAAGGTACTTTTATTTCTACTTAGAATAATTTATTAAAGTGATATCTTTAACTATGCAATACTCATAAATAGTGTATATATTTTTTAAATTTTAGTAATGAACAAACTTTTTAATTAAAATGTAGTTTTATTATATTCCTAGCCTATCTCTTTTAATCGGAAAATAATTCTGGATTTTCTTGCACTAAAAAAACAATTGCTACATAAGAGTATAAGAGAGTACACAGTTTCAACTAAAAATGAAAGTTCAAAGTTAGTTCCTAATACCTAAAGATATATATCTATTGAATATATACTAATTTAAAACCTCTTACCAAATATAAGAAATTATGTGTTTATTTAATTTTGACATTTATAAATATTTATATTAATAATAATATACATATATTAAGCTAATATTATCGATATTAAAATGCGTTACAAAAAGGAATTAATGAAATAAAATTGGCACATACACAAAGTCACACCAACAGAATAAAACTATTAAAAACCAAATTAGTTACTATAAAATATTTTCTAAAAAAAGACTGCTCAGCATATTGGTGCAGCCGAAGCTACAGCGCTGATGTAAACCTTAGGGTAAATAATAGCACATAAAATCATCATCATAACAAAGTCGCGGTCGCTGTCTGTCCCTATGTATGCTTAAATCTTTAAAACTACGCAACTGATTTTGAAGCGGTTTCTTTAATAGATAGAGTGATTCAAGAGGAAGGTTTATATGTATAATACATTTACCCATGTAAAGCCGGGGTGTGTAGCTAGTATTACATAAAAATAACTATGGATCGACTTATAAGCAACGAACTACAAAAATCTGAATATAAAGTCGATTCAAGTTACACACATAGGTACTTGACATTTATCATTATATTTCTCCCAATTTACATAATATCTTTTTAAATTATAGCCTATGTGTTGTTCTGATGTATAAGCTATATTACAGTAAAGTTTCAACAAAATCTGTCCGTAGTTTTTGCATGAAATAATAGTCCATCCATACTCATACACTTCCGCGTTTATAATACTTGCTCTGCCCGAGGTTTCACCCTCGTTAAATTTAATTTCAAATTTCAATGAAAAATATAGCTATATTACTGTAAAGTTTCATCAAAATCCGTTCAGTAGTTTTTGCGTGAAAGAGTAACAAACATCCATCCGTACTCACAAACTTTCGTATTTATAATATCAATGATTAATCCTTGTTAATGTAAATCTACTTAAAACAATATTTAATTAAAAGAGCAACACACAAGTTTCTTTCTCATTCTTCTTGTGATGAGTCTGCGTTCCGAATGAGTGGTAGAATAAAAAAAATATGACTATTCAAAAGTATTAAGTTTATTTGAATAAAAATTATTTCTATTTCTAATTATTAACGTATTTCATGTTAATAAAATTAATTTATTTCGCGTTTATTACAAATTTATATTTGAAATTCAACGATCTGTATTGCACCCGTGTAAAGTCAAGGCAAATCTAGTACAAAGGTCTTCAGCCCGCGGCCCACGGACCGCTTGCGGCCCGCCGATGTATTTTCTGCGGCCCGCTAACAGCATAGCCCCACTCTCAGTAAAGACAACAATTAAGTAATAGAAAGTACCTTTAATATATAATAAAATGATCCTTGTTAAAAAAATATCTCTGTACAGAAAGAAAGAAAAAAAATTTTTTGGCCCTTGATTTTTAAAACTGGAGACTGCTACTCTAGTATTATATATCTACCTCAATATCAGTACACAAAAAGTCATCAACGATTAGGAAAATCTGTATAAAATTGCCTATAAACTTTTTGATATTACAAATACGATATTTGTCAACATTAATCAATGATGTTGCACTGATGATTCAATATGTAACACTATTTTGAATCTAGGTGTATGTTTACTCAATCAACACGCATTGATAATTTAATTTAAACGGTAAAGATATTAAATCTAGAACGTTGGATGCCTCTAACATTACTAACAGATGTTGAGTTACTCTTATAACTAATTAAATATTCGTTTTAACCCACGACCGCGTGAAATTTACATATTTATCTATATAAATAAATAAAAATTCTAAAACAAAAGTGTCCTAAATATATAAATGTTATCTATGAGTAAAAGTCCTGTTAAAATCGGTCCAGCAATTTCAGAGATTAGCGAGAACAAACAGACAGATAGACAGAAAAGAAAATTTTAATTGAGTACCTACCGTATATATACTTTTATTTAGTGAGAAACTGTTGATTTCCAATTACATACAACACTTCAACATTATTTATATGTATTGTTTATTGATTGATAACTTAGTAGTTCGTGTGAATTTAAGTATATATATTATATCTAGAATACGATCTATTTGTGTAACAAATATCATTGGAATCTGTCCAGTAGTTTTTGCGTAATAACAATGATAATATCTTAAGACAATTCACACAACATCATCTGATCCCGAGCTGAGCTTGTGTTATGGGTACTAGACAACTGATATAAATATATAGATACAGATACAATGAAATTCTTGTCTCGAATAGAAGTATAGATGTTTTCTATTCGACACTGGTCCAGTTCCGGAGACAATTAAATCTCCACCGTAAAGAGACAAATTATATTTAATGTTGTACCAATTTTTTCTTTAATATAAATAAAATTCTGTTAACATGATAATTCATTGCATTACGTAGTTATATATTATTTTCTATTTAGTTTACTTTTCATTATATAACCTTATCTAGCGTATATTGAATGCGTCTTATAATTTAGCTTTTAGGCATACATAGTGTTGGATTACAATCCAGTTTTGTACCGAACTACACGCTCCTAATTATATTATTATATTGATTGTAATCTGTTTTGTATGCTAATAAATAAATAAATAAATATATACATATCACACCGGACCGAAAAAACAATAATACTCGTGAATACATTTTTTTTTATTTAGTATTATAATATCTGCCACTTCTTTTGTGGCGACGTCCTTATGGTCTATTATTTTTTCTTTTTAATTTTATTTTTATTATTTACTACTACTTGAATACAAATATTTGTATCGTGCAAGGAATCAAACCCGCTACCATTACGGTGTTTTACCGTTATACCACCGCCGTCAAATTAGGCAATAGGTTAAGTAGCAAACACGAATCTAAACTCTCGAAACATCGTTTACTATATTAGTGTGATATTAACATTGTGAATTCAATGTCGCAAGTTATTATATAATAAGTCAGCCGCTACATAATAATATGTAAAACCAGATATTGCACTTAAACTAGTTCTAACAATAACAGTTATTGGGTCAAGCCAGCAACCGTTTTATGGCTGCGGTAATTTTTAAATTCAAATGAATGCTATGATTTGACTAGAATGTCTATTTTTTAGAAATAGAAATAATTTTTATTCAAATAAGCACTTTGGTGTAGTCACATTTCTTTATTCTACCGCTCATTCGGAAAGCTGTCTCATTACAAGAAGAATAGGGAAGGAACTTGTGTGTTGCTCTTTTACACATAAGTTTCTTCCTCATTCTTCTCTTCTCCTCTTTTTTAGATTTACATTAACAAGGATTAGGCATGCGACTATCAACTTAGAAACCGCTACGCACTTAATCTCTGTTCAATCAGATAACATTGTCAGCGTTATGAATTTTAAGTTAGATATTTTCTATAAAATTTTTTGCAAACTATTAAAAACATTCTGCATTATTTTCGACAGTCGCGGGTTCGACTCCTTTCATGGTACAAACATTTGTATTCGTGAGTATGATTGTTGGTATTGCTATGGGTATTTTCTATCTAGAGTTTCATCAAAATCCGTTCAGTAGTTTTTGAAAGAGTAACAAACATCCATCCATATTTACAAACTTTCGCGTTTATAATATAACCAGCTGAGCCCGCGGTTTCATCCGCGTTAAATTTCAATAAAAATATAGCCTATATATTATTCTGATGCATAAGCTATATTACTGTAAAGTTTTATCAAAATCCGTTCAGTAGTTTTCGCGTGAAAGAGTAACAAACATTTGCGTTTATAATACTATTAAGATAACTTGACAGTTATGAGCGGTTGAAATGAATTAACGTAAATAAAAATATTTTTATTTGATTCACACATTCAACACCGCAATATGGCAACATTTCGCCATTTTTTTTTTATTACCACAACAATATTATGCATATGTATATATTTAAAATATTGTAGATTTGAGGACAGTTCCAGTAATTAATTTGATTCCTATCTACCACATACATTGTATTCAAACGATGTTTCACAGTTTTATGGTTGTACGCTTCCTCAAACTGTAATATTGTGTTATCTGTGCTCAGACTATGTAATATTATCTTATCTGTGCTCAAACTGACGAGGAAATATGTACGATGTATGATTGTAATTAAACTGATTAGTTCTATAACTACCGTCACAAATAAGATTGAATCTAAGATATTTATGTACTTTTACATGAATATTTTCATTTCATTCCAAGATAGTTTCGTTGTTTACTGGAGGAATATTGCAATGTTTAATTAGTTTTAATTGTAATAAATAAAATATTTAGAATATATTGTACACAGAATTTAATAATGACTCCACGGAATGTTCTAGAAGGAATGCAAATCTAAATATATATAACTCAAAGGTGACTGACATAGTGATCTATCAACGCACAGCCCAAACCACTGGACGGATCGGGCTGAAATTTGGCATGCAGGTAGATGTTATGACGTAGGCATCCGCTATGAAAGGATTTTGATTAATTCTACTCCCAAGGGGATAAAATAGGGGATGTAAGTTTGTATGAAATTTTGTCAATTTTAAACCGATCGGGCTGAGACTTTGCATGCATAAAGCTACTATGACGTAGGCATCCCTCAAGAAAGGATTTCAATCCAGCCTTAAGGCGATAAATTAACGCGAGCGAAGCCGCGGACAAAAGCTAGTTGTATATAAAATAACATCGATGTTCTGTGTGTCTGATCTATTTGCGATCGCGAACATTCGTTATTGTCTTTTTTAAAT